TGCATAATGACGAGAGTGCACCCCTCACCCTGATTTACATGATTGAATCATGAAGAAAAGAAAACAAGGAGGAGGATCTGATCAAGGTGACAGCAGGACAAAAAGAGCGACATAAAAATAAAAAAAAGCTCATAATAGCAGAAAGACGGTCAGTGGCTCGGAGAAATGGACCAGAGTCTCCTGAGGACACTTGGCAAGTGGCGCGCGGAGTGAGTCAGTCTGTGGTGTGTGATTGTTGTTTTCCCTGCCCTCTTCTGAGCTGTCACCAGACTAATGCACGCTACTGGAAGATGTAATCTGTGGTAAATACAGCTGGAACTACGAAGGAGTCCTCGGTGATTTCCACAGATTAAGATGTCAAACTGAATCACAGAGGTCTGAGGAGAGGCCATTATTTTTGTTTAGACAAAATCTGCCCTGATGACAAGATGCCAGGTTCTCTCCACTTGTGCGTTTCTCTGGATGGAACTGAGGAGTTTTTTGTTGTTGTTGCTTTTTATTAGGTTGATATATGGGGGTGTAAGGGCTGTGGTGGCTTGGTGGTTAAGGAAGCGGACTTGGGTCAGGAAGGCTTCAGGTTCGAGTCCACCAGCTTTGAGGTGCTCTGAGCATGGCTCCGTCCCCGCTCACTGCTCCAACTGTTCACTTTGGTGATGGGTTAAAAGCAGAGGTCACATTTGGTGGTGTGCTGTGGTGTGTGTCACAATGACAAGTAATTATTAATTATATATGTATTTAAAAAAACCCTCATACAGAGAACCAACCATTTACACTCAGACTCACACATTAACACTGATCTGTTTGTTCTATGACTGTGAACTGAAGACCAGTTCTTCGTTCTCTGTTACGTCTTTGGTCCAAACGAGCTGACTGTGTCACATGCCCTCCTGGCCCATATCTCATTATATTCTGAATATGTGGACCGTGTCTGTCTGAGGCCGTGCCACCTGTCCCGTCTGTCTGTCTCTGCATCTGTCTGTCACTGGGGTCTGTCGTCTCCTGCTCACCTGTGAGTCTGAGCAGCCTGTGGAGGTTGGCTGCTGTTTGAGTAAGAGAGAGGTGGAATGTTAAACAGACACTCTGCCCATGTCTGTGTCTACACCAGCCCTGCATCTGTGTGTGTGTGTGTGTGACTGCAGGTACTGGATGTAAATTTAGTGTGTGTGTCCACATATTACAGCATGTCTGTTTCTCCTCCCTCCTACGTGTGTGTGCTCTATTTCCATAAACACACCTGACTTGTATTTTGTGTGGACTTTTTAAATATAAATACATCATTTCCTCAAAACTAACTCAATTTTTAATGATAAAATGATAAAAAACAAACAAAAAACTCATTCCTTCCTTTAGTTGAACACAAACCTGAGCTGCAGTGTGGACGTAGTCTGGTCTTCTAACCTGATGAGGTCTTCACCACATCTTCAAATGACGCTCAGAACTGACTCCCTGTCTTAAAGTAAACATCCTAAACATAATGCCCAACCTAAACCCCAGACTAACCCTCACCCTGAAGCCCTGAACCCCCTCAGGGGGATGGATTTGGATTCAAACCTTTTATCCTTTTTTATCCCAGTATATACAAGAACACACACACACCACCTCCATTTATATTCCTGAGAGGAGCAGACTGGTCTGGCTGTGGGTTGCTTTATGTCCATGAACCCGATGACTCCCACTCTGCCTCTGCATTACACCACAGTGGCACCAGCACCACAGCCAGCCACACTGCAGTGACTATAAAGAAGCAAACGGCTGGACGTATGCACGTGTGTGTGTGTGTGTGTGTGTGTGTGGGTGTGTGTGCACGCCTCAGGTGAACGTCAGATTTAAACACATGATTTCACCTCCTCTACTCCCCCAAATCCTGTGGTCTCCTGTCGTCTGTGTGCCTGGCGCCCCCGTCTGCGTGCGTGTCAGGCTGTTTAAAGTCTTGCAGCGTTAACAGTGTGCAGACGACAGCTTGCACACTTGCCACTTGACTGCCCTGGCTGTCTTTTCTCCTCTGTTTGTTTTACAGCTAAAGGAAGGAGTTTCACACGGTGTTTGTTAATGAGAGTGTTTGGGAGCGAGTGGGCACAAGAAAGATAAGTGTTGTGCACATGCGTACTCCACGCTCCGATGCGTGTGTGTTCCACAACGCTCTGAGTGACCTCATCTTTGTAGACGTGTGTCCTCTGGAGATGATGTAAGAGGACTGATGCAGGGATTTCCTTTATTTGTAATTCCACTTCCTCCATTCAGTGACATTACATTGTTATGAAGAGATCTGGGAAAAAACAGCTGTTGATGATTTTCTACGTGGGGGTGACAACTGCCCCATCTGCCCTGCAGAGCAGGTTTGGAAACCCCGGGAGTAGACACAGACTCTCGACCTTTATCCACGGTCCAACTGTAAACACTGTTGACACAGTCGCATCAGGTAATGTCGCAGCTCCCTAAATGACTTTTATGATGAGTGTCCAGAGGGAGAGGATGTTCATGAGAACGTCAGGGGTTTGAAACCGGGCGTAGTTCCACAAAAAGCTGTCTGAACGCCCACCACCTCTTTATCCGTGCTTTAGACGTGGCGTGTGCGTAGTTGCCTTGGCGATGATGACCTTGCAGCATATTACTGTGTCACTGCAGCATAAGGTATCGTGTGAATGAGGGATGAAAAGGGAGGAGAAGAGAAAGTGGAAGACAAAGGAGGCTGCTGTTGAAAGATGTTCACAAAGTGTCACATGACACTGGGACTTTGACATCTTTAAGCATGTAGATGAAAACAATAGAACAAGCACATATAAAAATGACCGAAAATGTATTTTCCCGTTCCTTCCTCTGTCTTTTACCAGTGTCTTTCCCAGTTACAAACTTCTTTTTGATTTTAACCTTACTTTTGATCCTTTTTTTCTTATTCTGAATCATCATCCGACCCTCACCCTCACTCCCTCCTTTTCCAGTGACAACCACCCCTCCCTGTTGCTCCTCTCAGTAAGGAGGGCAGTGCAGGTCGTCCATAAGTCATACCCTGGTCCTCTAGTGATGCAGTGTAATATGACACGTTCGGCACCTGCTTTATAAACTGCTACAGTCAGCACTCTGTTACTGCTCACATTACGGAATTTCTCATGTCTTATTTTTGTATTTCCCGTAGACTCCATGAAAATGTCGGAGTTTTGTCATCCACGGACATTTTCATTTTATTTTCTGGCGGGGATTTACGAATGAAAACGCTGTGCCATGTTTATATCAATGAGAAAGTAGCAGTTAGTTTGAGTCTTTGCAACTGACACAGGCTGCCACAGGAGGCGCCATTAAGTACGTGGCTGCATCTCCCAGGCTGCCCCATGGGCCATTAGTTCCTCTGGGAATCAAACCCAAGATTCTCTGCTTGTAAGGCAGACGTGCTAACCGCTTAACTACGGCTCCACATTATCAGACCATTAAATTGTTAGCTGCTGTACTCCTAAATAAAAACGAGCTGGCCGTCAGGGTGTGGTTCCTGGCTGATGCTGTGGACTAACAGCTGGTGTTGTGCTGGTTTGAAAAATAATCAGTTTGTAAACCAGTTTATGAAAAACAAGGTCTTTAGGTCAAGAAGAAATTCCAGGTCATCTTCTTGCAGATATGGAAAGGACTTTGTGAATTACAATAAAATCACGATCACCTGGTGGTGTGGCACTGTTGGTGGTGTTTTTTTTGGAGGAAGTCCACTTGTTTACAGTGTGGAAGAGGAGCTCCTAGTACACAGTAGCAGCAGGTGTGGTCTAGTATTTACACATATTTTCTATCTTAATGGCAAACCCATTGCAGTATCTTGTTTTTATGGCGTTAACTTTGACTCAGTAAACACCTCTGAAGCTCCTGCACTCGTAGCTCTGATGTTGTAAAAATGTTGCCTCCTCAGCAACATCTGAGCTGTGAGTTCATCCATGGTCTGGATAAACCTCAAAGAGCTTTCTTCATTCAGTAGATACTTTGGCTCCACTGATAGTTGGTTCATCTCAGGTCATTTATCAGCCAATATCAAATGTGTCTTGAAATGATATTCCTCATGGATTTTGTTTTTCTTTTTGTAGATCCAGTTATTGTGGATGAGGGTGTTATGTCCCAGTGGAATACCCCCGTGTCCTTCACCCGTCTCCACCTCCTTTCTACTCCAACATCATAGCCTGGTTGATCTGAGGGTGTAATAATATCTGCTGCCTCTGGCTACAGGAAATGACCACATACATTATTCACATATGCTAAAAAACTAATTGATGAGTCCTTTATTTATATATTTCCCTTACTCCAGAGTCATTTCTCATATTCCTGCTCTGACTTGACTTCCTCGCTTTGGTTTTTTTAAATGTTCTTTTTTTTTTTTTTGGCTTCTTTGATTTTTATGTTTGACCTGATGAGGCACATAACGGGGCAAACCTGAATAATATTACATGAAGGCAGAGTAGTCCAGACACACAGGAGCCCAGGAGCCCATTTGAAGTTTGGAATTTTTGGTACTTGCTCAGCCAGTCTTGCCAGGGAAGGATATTGAACCATCAATCGTCAAATTACAAGTATGATTCGCCAACAACTGAAAAACCATCATTTTATTTCAGTTGCTCTATGTCCCTGTTTGACGCTCCCTTTTTTAAGATTAATTGTCTTCACTTGAATGAATGAGTTTTACATTTAGCAAAATCTCTACAAAGATTCTCAGTCATCTAGGTCATGGTCAAGGTTGAAGAGTTCTGTTAGGCTTAATCTTAACTGTACTCCCCACCATCAGTTTAAAATGAAGAAGCTTTTCCTTGAACAACTTCCCATCCAGTCGGCTAACAGAACCTTGTTAGCAAAATCCTACTGGATTCGATTCCTCAGATGAGAGCCCAGAAACCTGTGTGTGGGCTGTATGAGACCTTGATCATGGAGGGTGAATGAGAACAGGGACAATTGTTCCGGTCAAGGATCTGTTCATACTGTGTCAGTGTGTTTGTGGTGAGTCGTCCAGTGACGCCCTTCTCTGTCCTCTTCCACAGAGACAAGTGCCTTCTGATGCCGACTCCTGGGGCTTTTTGGCTAGACTGAAACCACCTCTGTCTCTGTGCCTCCCCATGTCTGTCAGAGTCACCCCCCTCAGCATGGGCACCAGGACTGCCAACACCATCTACTGAACCATCCACTGCCCCACTCTCACCCCCTTCCCATCTCCTGCTCCCTCCACCAGCCGGGCCTCCACCGGTGTCGTCAATCCACCTTCTCCTGAGGAAGTCGACCCTTTCACCCTCTTTTCCCGATACAGGCTGACAGTGAAGCTATCTGCTGCTGTGAGTGGAAGGCGATTGTCCTTTTGTTGTCCCCTTTACCTGTGCCTCCTCCACCTGTTCTTGCCTCCCTCTCCCTCTCCCCCTCCTTTATTCTTCCCCCAGCCCTATGTCAACTCCTCATGGACCAACTAAATCAATAATGCGTTTTGCCATTCATCTCAACTGACAGCTCAGCCGTGGAGCGAGTAAACTGCTGTGGGTAGGAGAGCAAAGCAAACGTCTGTGGCCACCACCTGTCTGTGCCCTGGGTGACAAACGCTCAAGGATTTCTTAAACATCTTCAAACAGACTGTGAGGATGGGCCACAGGTGGTAGAGGAGTCCAGTCCTCACAGCCTTCCTCACGCAATCTCACTCCAGGACAAACCTTCCTAAAACTGGATCCCCTCCCTCCCATGCCATTTATTGTTTCTTTATTTTCATTTCTCCCTGTGTCGTCCAAAGCACACAGACACACGCACGTATTTGGTGGATTTCTCTTCTCTGTGAGCGCCCCCTTCTTTACGGCTCACGATGGCGTTGAATGTGACACCCATCAGGGACACAAAGTGGCTGACGTTGGAAGTCTGTCGGGAATTCCAGAGAGGAACATGTTCACGGCCGGACAACGAGTGCAAGTTTGCTCACCCTGCCAAGAGCTGTCAGGTGGAGAACGGCAGAGTCATCGCCTGTTTTGACTCACTCAAGGTGAGTACGAAAAACCACTCCCATCTTCATCCATCAACCTCCTCTGTTTCTCTTTTTCAACCTGCAAAGATGGATTTCCTGTTGTGTTGTGTTCTCTGACAGGTGTTCTGATTTAAAACGTACCTTTGTCAAGTGTTGAGCTGTATAACTTTTATTTGTTTAGATTTTATTTAAGTCTAAAAAAATAAACTAGAAGGAAACCTGTTCAAATGATTGAAGTTCATCAACAGGTTTCCTTAAAAAAAAAAAAAAACACTTTTAACGAAGTGTATTTCAGGCATTAGATCAGACAAAGAAGCAGGTAGTGACTCGGTCAACACTTTGTTATTTAACCAGCTTGTTCATGTTGCACTGCCTTTGTAAATGCATATTGAGATCTTTTGCTCATTTGTCCTGGTGTGTGTTGGATTTATATCAAACCAACACATATTTCGATCTTCAATGATCAGAAACCAGTTTCCTTTCCATTGTTAGCAAACTGCAGGGACAACCCACTGCATGACAGTTCTAAAGGTTAACACTGGGTGAAGTAATGGCAGATGATACCAGCACAGTATGCATGTGTGTGTGTGTGTGTGTGTGTGTGTGTGTCACCCAAGCTGGGATGCTGCCATAATCACATTAACATCTGTGATTCAAACTCACAGTTTCCGTCAGTACCATAGAACCGAACCCCGGGCCGACTGTTGACTCATAAAGATTTACCATGGTGAAGTGGAAACACAGAAGTAGGACGACATGCTGTGTAGTGTTTGTATGTAAGTCTGCCAGTGATTTGTCTGTGTGTTATTTTGAGGTCATGCAGCCCACTGGGGTGTTCTCAGAAGGCTCTATAATTTACTGTCTATTTTTGCCCTGGCACGGAGACAACTCTCTCCCACTACGCTGCTTCTCGCTCCATCTTAGAGGCTGAAGGGTTGGAGTGTAAAAATGAGCAAAAGTTAGGACGGCGGGGAGAAAAAAACTGTCTGGGTCAGGAAGTTGTGAGATAAAACAAATGTGGTATTTGGGGATTCCAGGGAGGCTGTGTGTGTTGTGCTGAAAACCACAGCTGTGTTAAGATCTAATGTCAATAAAGAGAGACTTTCACTTTTTAAAATGATGTGCTGGCGTTTGATGGATGAATGTTTGATACTTCATACGACTAAACAGCAGTCATTTGTTTCTGGACTGGCTTTTCACTTGAGTCACATGGTTGTTAGTTTAACTCCAGGCAGATCAGAGGTGGAGTGATACTCCTTCAAATCATAAGGTCTGTTTGGTCACAAACATTCTCAACTCTTTAGGGCTACATTACTTAGGACATCAGTTCCCAACCTTTTACATACCAAGGATCGGTATTCCAGACGGAGCCAGTACCACAGACTGGTACCACTGCACTGATCAATGAAGGACCACATTTGTTGATTATCTTTAAATGAATAAATGGAAATGAGCAAATTCTCCACAAAATCAGGCAAAAGCAATTATTAATTCTTTGTCTGCGGCCTTCTACCAAACATCCCACGGACTAGTCACAATCTGCGGACCAGATTGCTGTTATGAAGATTCTCTTCAGTAGCTGTTAGTCAATATGAGGGTAGGGGGGCTTACTGTTAAGACATGCACTGGTTATTGCAGAGTACAGGTTAGAAAGGAGGTTTGGTGGATCATGAAGACAGAGAGCAGCAGGGAGCGTATGAAGGAGCGTACCCCTGCCCTCATGGATCTGATTCATCTGCAGAAAAAATCTTATCACATCAAATAGTGTGCTGAGAGGAAAGAACTAGAAGTGTGTGAAGAGAGAGGGAACGTAAGTGAAAAGAGCAGTTCAGAGGACGATCAGGCTACACTTCTCTACAACAGTCTTTAAAAAGGATTTGTGGATCATTTCAAAAGAATTTCTTTTTTCTAAATGGGGTGTGTGTCCAGATAAACGCTTTAATATTTTTATATTCAAGTCTATTTTTCATGAAGACATTTTCCTGATTAGTTGGTCAGTGTTGGTGAAAGAATGGACAGTGATAAAAGTTCACAGGAAATGAGTCACAGTCTGTTGGAAGGATCGATTGATGAAACAGAGAACCTCGCCTTCGTCAGTGAAAACAACAGCCTTACTGTATGATTTCAACACAAGGAATCAGATGTGAATCCGATTACCCATGTTTACACAGTGACTGTACACACAAGTCTCACTTATTTTACCCCTTTTTTAAGGAGTGAAGTAATACAGCCACTATGGGACAGTGATCCAATTCTTCTTCTTTATAGGTTCTGACCCTGGGAGGTTACCTCTTAAATGTTCCCGTACTTTCAGACACAATTTCTGCCAGTTCTGCCATTAATGTTGTGTTTTGTGGTCTTCTTTGATGGTTGTTGGTTTCTCTGTTTCAACGTTATAATACTGCACAGCACAGCTCTACTTCCTGTGTGTAGGTTAGCATCTGCCCGTGCTACTGAATCACATATGTAACTAATGCAGAGGAAGGACGTTAGGCTGTGTATGTGTACTTGAGGTTGAGGATATTTTGGGTGTGGAACAGTGGGAACCAAAATGAAAAGCTTTGATAACACATGGTCAGATTTTACTACATTTTCATCCGTAGAACACTTAATATTCTGGAGTCCTCAGAACTCAGACACCATTGATATTTGTACATAAATATGAATAGAAATATCAAGTCTTTTCTATCATCTTTCATCGTTGGAATATCTGGTCAAAGCGATACATCGTTGGTCTCCAGCTCATAGCTAGTCTCCCTGTGATTTCTCAGGTCGCTCCATCTGCACAGGATATTGTGGAGGCAGCCTTTTATTAGCACTCTGTTGTGAAGTAAGCTGTGAACACAGGCAGGCTGCAGCTATTGACTCTGTCTGACTCGGTGTTATTGAGAGGACGTCCCTGTTGGAACGTCTCCTCTAAATGTCTCAGTGTCCTCAGAGAGGCCACCATTTTTTTCATCCATCTGTGGACAAGCTGCCTCAGCACACACACACACACACACACACACACACACACACACACACACAACACAGAGCCATATGTTTAATTATGCCGCATCAGCAAAGAGACACCACACAATATTGTGTGGGTCAAAACAAATCCAAGGACGTCCAGGAATAGTCGTCCATGTCACGCAGAGGTCACTTCCTGTCCTTTTACAGGACATCGCTCACATGTGTAGAGACTGATCATGTTGACTCCGCCCACCTGCACTGTGGATGTTGTATTCAGGTAGTACGACCAGCACTTCTCTGTGCTCAGTGGCCAGTCCCATCGGCAGAGCAGCTACTGCTGTTGTGAAGAGAATTTCTAACAAGCTGTAGCCTCACTCGTTAGACACCACACCCCCGTGGCTGCCACGCCCCTTTCCTCTTTTTTTTTGATCATATAAATCCCTGTCTTACTCTGAGAACATCGAGTACCTCTCCTCTCTCCTCCTCCTTTTTCACCCTACCATCCTTTGACTATTTTTTTTTGTTGAACCATTTGTTATTCCTGGGGTGTTGCGCAGTAAAACTAACATTTAAATTAGACTGCAGACAAGTAAGGTGTGCAAGGATGGAGGGAAGTAGATGGAGTGTGGGAGTAACGGAACATTAATTCACTGCAGGACAGCAGATTGTCTGCCAACTTCTGCTCCCTTTTGTTGTTTGGCAGCGCTCTAACTTCTTCTATGTCCCCTCTTTCCTTTCCTTCATCCCTTATCCTTTCCGTCACTGATCCTCCAGCACTTAATCAGACCTCTGGACTTTGGCTGTTTGGTGGTTGCGGTGCTGAAGTGCAATCTCTCACATTCAACCCTGTAAACAAAGAAACAAAGAAACAAACAGATGCTGGATGTTTGCTGCAGTCACCTACACTCACATACTGGGAAGACGTCTATTTGACGTGCTACTCTTCCTCCTCTGGACTTGTTGGTAATAACGCAAGGCCAAAGGAGACAGAACTGTCTCCCCTTTGATTCAACACTTTTCTTTTTTTAGCACTGTTTCTCATTTGCATTTGTAGATTCATCTTGTGTCAACTTCGACACATGTTAGCTCAGGAAGTAGACAACTGGAGGGAAGGTCAGTGTCTGACTCTGTGAAGAGTGTTCCCCCAGCCTCCCTCAATAACTGCGGGGATTGACTCCCGTCCCCAAGTGGACTTGTAAACAGTCATTTGACAGAAGATTAGCAAAGGTGATCCTCGGTTTACGACGTCCTCGACCCGCAGCGTTTCGTGTTTTTATGCCATCTATTATAAATTCATTAATAAAGTCTTGTTCCCTCAGTCGACACAGGAACTAGTTGACGAGCGCAGTTAACGAATATGACGTCACATGGCGTTATAGGCGAAACACGGCTTTGTTTACATTCGCCGTCTGGTCTGGTCTGTTTATTTATTTATTTTTCATATGCAATCTTTTGATTAATTGCATTATTACATTTGCCTGACTCACAGGAAAAAAGTAAAGAAACAATTACAAAAAAAGGAACAGTATTACAATCAGGTTCTAAATCCCACACACGACCGCAGGCCTCAGGTGAAGGAGGTGTTACAGAGTCTTCATCCTGGCAGGAAACATCACATGCTCCTCAGTAGACATGTCATACAAAAATGGAGCACACTATTACCCAGGAGGGAATATACAGGACTGGTCTGAGTGTGATTCCTGTGGCTGAGTCTGCCATTTGTTTTTAGGGTTATTTTTTTTACCACAGCAGTTAGAAATATGCCTCCTGAATTTACTCGTTGCCCCATCAGTCACTCCTTTAATTAGAAAATAATCAGAGATGGATGAGAGGTTCATTAAATCTCATCCCCGAGAGCCGTCAGCCACAAACATAGACATGGGATATTTATCATGCTTCAGAAAAGCAACTCTGTCTCCTCCTGCTCTGTTGTCCTTCTGCTGGGAGATCATTGGTAGGACGGACTGAAGCAACAGTCTGAGGTGGATGAATGACTGCTGAACACCTGGTTTCAGTGAAGGGGGCAATAAATTACAGAAGCATGAAGGAAGTGTGGAACGTGA